GAATACGTTAAAACGCGTAAAATTTTTCTAGACATACGTGTTTCTATGTATTTACACGACAAATATTATGCGTTTCGACGCTTTCGGAAGCAACAATGCGTATTAACACTGAAAGATTAGTTTAGAAGAAAAAGATATTTACACACATGTTCTTTGGTGCATTTTACAATGTTTAAGAATAATTGATTATTTTACATTTTTTCAAAGTAATCGAATGCGCTTAAACGGATTTGTCTCTTGAGACTCAGTGAAATGCCTAGGATCTTAAATTGAATCACTTATATTTATATGAATACACCAAATGTGAAAATAATTCTTTATAGAGGGTTCGGAGTTTTTAGCAAAATGACAAGTGAGTTCTTAACAGTCATGAAAAAAATAGGATATTCTTCAAGGTGTTCGATTTTTTTTATTCTTTTATATGTGCAAGATTAGGTCAATTTCTAGTATCTACTCGTTCAACTCGTTTATGTATTATTTTTCTTAAAATTTAAATTTAATTGTGATCTACTTGCGATGTAATATTGCTATCGGAATATTTTGTTCCGTTTGTGTTTCTGATACTTGTCCGATCATAGAAATTTGCTAGAATTTATTTTCTTCTGTTTGTGATTTTTTTCTATCATCAAGAAACTTGTCGACAGTTGAATGTGAAAATATGTTTATATTATTACTAATAGCCTTATCAAATTAATGATGTGTTGCTGATTTATTTGCGAATTCATCGACTTTTCTTGCATATGTTGAAATTATGGATTTTCGTGTCGGCATGACTAAGCATTAACAGTCGTGAGGACTATTTACAAATGATTAACTCATGCTGACTGAATAGAATCTATTGAAGTACAAGAGTCTGTTTGCCTTTGGTACTAATATCAAAGCACCCTTATATTTATCGTGATGATGGAAATAATCTTTATGTTTCTGTCTGCATCCATTACTTTTGCTCAGATTAAACGAATAAATGAGCCATGTATTAAAACTGAGAATATTTAATTTTATTCTTTTTTTCCTTCCATTGTGCAGTTAACTTTGCATACCTTACATTAGTCAATATTTTCAACGAATTACGTGATACACTAACGTTTTTTGCCATGAGTCGTAGATAGTTTTACAACATGCTGAATATAAACTTTCCTTATCGGAGAAGCACATAAAGATATAAGTTTTATTATGAAGATATTGCAGTAAAATGACGCGCTTTTATGACAATATATTTGTCTGATCTTAGGTGACAAAGTACTTCAAGGTGTGATGATTCCTCATGTATTTAAAATAATTCATTATATCAATTATCCTAATCTTGAATAATTTTGACAACGTCACGTACTTATCCTCACACAAAATATTTTAAGTGCGTAAAATCTTATTTTAATAATACAATCGTTTTTATATATGTTGAAATCTATAGTTTTTTTCCTGTTATTCGTCTTCAATTCTATTTTGTATATCTTTGTGTTATTTTAATGTTAACTTTCTCATTCATTCGGATGAACCATCCATTCAATCATTTTTCTCTTTCGTTTATACGAGAAACTGATTCTTTCCTCGTAGCCTTGTTGACATATTTTTTTGATGACTTGCTACTTTTTCTTCGGATAGTTAGTTACAAGTTAATATATATTGCAGATCGGCAATTCAAACGAGTGGCTAAATAAAAGTTAGTCTTTAACTTTTTAGTTCTTTTGTCAAAATCTTTTACTCGAATATAGGTAGTGCAGAAATATACGAAGCGACCAAACGCTACCGATATTATCAGCCATTCGTCCCTTGTATACATTGTTTAGCGTAAAATAAAATTGTAACTTTTTTACTTTTTCTGTTCATCTCAGCAGAAGATGAGGAATAAGTGAATACCTATTGTTAGATATCATTAATAAATTTCGATTATATATCTATAGTGATTCATAAGTTTCAGACTCGTTTTAATGTTTTTTAATATTCTTTCGAATATACATAGTTCAACAGACATAGAATATATACATTTTCCTATCATATTTTTATCGTAGTCATGTAACGACCTACTTCTAAACTGATTTTAGCAATAGGCTCATTAAGATCGACAATGAAAGAAAATAATTAATAATCAGTACGCTATTCATAATTTTCTTATCCTACGAAAAAGTAAGGAGTAGAAATTAAATTAGATAAATATATTTTAGTTTGTTTTCTAATAAATATACTTTTTTAATAATGATGTCAGTTGAGTATAGTATATTTTGGATGATAGCTTAAATGTTACAAATATACATTTTCTATGTTTGTCGAACAGTGCATATGCAAAAAATACAAAAACAAAAAACTCGAAAGAGTCCCAAGTCTATGCAATAATTATAATATATACAAAACTTTCACGTAACCTACAGTAGTTAGATGAGCTTCTTATAGGTAGAATAATTTTTATCGTATATCTTTGTGTTCATTTTCTGAATTGAGTGTATTCCTAGAGAAAAACAATCATATTCCATAGATCTGAATTACTTGAAGTATAGATTAAATAAATTTTCAGTTACATCAAAACTTGTTGTCATTTTATTATAAAATGACTTCTTACGAGGGAAGGTCATTAACTGTTCAATTGCTTTTTGGTCGAGTTCTAGTGATTTATAGGTAATCGACGGTGCTGATTCCGAATATCATAATGGTTTAAGTGGATAGACCTTCAGTACCTCGATTTCTAGAAAACCCAGATTTACGACCAAAAATCTTTTTTACGCGAAAATGATTTTTTTATCAGTCCAGATGAAAGAGCACATCGCAAAACCTATAAAAACATGTTTGGTTCGTTTTTTGAAGAATTATTGTGGACACTACAATCTGTGAAAGTTTCCATTTGTCAAAGTTTTTTGACCTTTTTTCGCATTTTCATCAATAGAATTTTCGTTGCACTCATTTTTTTTTGAGAATTTTAGATGAGTTTCAATTTCTAAGGCAGTAAGTTTGCTCCGACCTTTGCAGTGAATAAGATCCAATTCGTGCTTACTAGTTATTTGTGAAAGACAGCAATAGAATCTGACATGAGAGCATCCTGATGACGAAAAGAAGCTGTTGATTACGACGGCATTAAGCGTTCAAGCGAAGTTTAGTGTTTTTTTTTATTTCTACTTTATTTTGGGTTCTACGTTATTAGATTTTTGTTGTTGTAAGTTTTCAATTGAAAAGACTTGTTTCGCTAATAAAAAAAAAGAAAAGAACAGTTAATCTGAGTGTGTTCTAACTTTCGGTATGCGACTTAAAAGCCGACACACGTCAGGTTTTAACTCGACAGACATCTTTCTAAAACTAACTCAAATTCTATCGCTATCTTTCGCAAACAACTAGTAAGCACGGACGGGGCCTTGTTCATTGAAGAGGTTGAAGTAAACTTACTGTCTTAGAAATCGAAACTCATGTAAAATTCTCAAAAAAAATGAACACAGTGCAAATCCTGTTGATGAAAATGCAAAAAAAAGGTCAAAAAACTTTGACAAATGGAAACTTTCACAGATTGTAGTGCCCTCAATAATTCTTCAAAAAACGAACCAAATATGTTTTTATAGGTTTTGCGATGTGATCTTTCATCTGGACAGATAAAAACTATTTTCGCGCGAAAAAGGTTGCTGGTCGTAAAACCGGATTTTTCTAAAAACCGAGATACTAAAGGCCTATCCGCCCAAACCATCGTGATATTCGGAATCAGCATGGTTGATTACCTATAAATCACTAAGATTCGACCAAAAAGCGATTGAACAGTTGGTGACTTTCTCTCGTTAGTCTGATAATGATCTGTAAAAATCTGTATCAAATCTGACAATCAAAACAATTCTAAATTGAATATAGAGTTCTATGGATGAAAATTAAACTAAAAAGTCGTTTGTTACAAGATAATAACAAAATTACAATAACTAAGAACTCATGTGAACTACATTTCAAGCACCTCAGATCTACACAATATGTATTTTCTCGCTATGGATATGTACTCAATTCAAAAATTGAACGCGTAAAAACCTTTTAAAATTCTTGAACGAAATTGAAGTCATAACAATGTATTCTTTTTACGATCTTATTTACGTTGAAACTGCGACTTGTTTTTACGAAGTTTTTTAAATTGTTTGTTTGACTGGATAGAGAACGTCGTTCTTCTCTGTAGTCTCATTAAACGGCAAAAATAGTGAGAGAAAAATTGACCATTTACTGATGGAAAGAAAATATCTCATCAAACAGTATGACAGATCATGATGCAATTTATTGCAGCAAGATGGTATTTTAGGGGCGTTTCAAGCCATGTGAGATACATTTTGCGACAGTCAGAATGATTGTTCTGGGGCTATCAGAAAAAGTAAGCGATAACTTGTTCTCTTCCAGAAGAGAAGTTTTCCGACGGAATAATTGTAAACTTAGGAAAGCATAGATAGAATTTTCTCATTTTTATACGAATGATGGAACACACTTCGAACTATTGAATAATACTAATAAAATTTATATGCGTTTCTTTTTTGAAATTTTAGATTATGCCAAATTCTTCAACTGAAATGTTTCAAACAAATCATTTTCTAAGGTATCTTTTATGATATTCTGTAACATCTATTTATCTGGTCATCATTCAAATGATACATAGAAAGCTGTTTTGGACTTTAATAAGTTCTAGATATTGAAACAATCAATTAACTAAATGTAACTTGCTACATGATACTCAATTGTTGTTCAAGCATTGTTAAAATTTGATGATTTTTCATGTCGTCTTGAACAATGAAATTAGTTTAATGTTTTTTGGAGAAAAAAAACGTGCTTACCAATAAGCATATTTATAAGGTCATAAAGCGCACCTTTAGAATAAGAAGTATCCTTCAATTACCTGCTCTATATGTTTCTTTAGCGTGAATATATATGATATCTTACGTTTCTTTTTCTTTTTTTTTAATATTTTTCGTTCTTTCTTTTTTCTTTCGCCTTTTATTTATCTTGGTGATCATTCTTTAGTTTGATCAATGATGTGTAACAATATCTCAATTGCCTTTAACATGCGACAAATTTCTCAATATTTATTTTTATTTTGTATTATACAAATAATTCAATCGAAATCAATAAAAAAATACGATGAATGTGATCAATTTCTAAATATAAATGACTGTTATTATTTTCCATGCTTAGATGCCCATTATTCATGTGGTCCTGATAATCATTTGGTAAGATTTAATTATGATTTATGCATTTTACCAACAAAAACTTATTCTAAAAATTTAACAGCCAATGCACTTTTTTATTTTAATCATACAAATATATGTGCAATGACATCTTTAAATGAGCAATTAGTTGAAGAAAAAATTTCTGAAATATTTACATGTGCACATTTACATGCAATGATATTTAAAATATATGTGAATTGCTTTCAAAATAATGAACGAGAAAATCAAATGATTAAAATAATTGATTTTTGTTCAATTATATGTGAAAATTTACAAGCCATGATAAATATATTTTTACATTTAAATGAAGCTCATTTTAATGTACTTTTATTACTTCTGGAAACAGGCAAAAATTGTGGAGCACAAATTAGTGATTCAGTGATGCATACGATACCTTCTGCCCTTATCGCCATTTGTCTTGATAGAAAAAATGTACGTTTAGAATACGATATAACTGAAATTATGTTCAATTCAAGATTTGAAGCAGGTGATTATGAATGGACATAAGAATAAAATTAAAAACAAAAAGAAAATTTGTTAACGTATTCGGAAAATTATGTTTAGGCGTATTAAAGAAATTATCATATTGTTATGTTTGAATCAACGGATTCATAGAGGATAAAAAGTTTACAGTTTTTTTTATAGTGACAAGACGTAATTCAATTATACCTTTACATTATTCAAGTATTTATATTTCATATTTGAAAAGTAATTTATATTTTCTTATTCTTTTTTTTTTTTTTTTTTTTTTAAATTAATAAATTAATAAATTTTTCTCTTTTACTTATAGATTTGAAGATGTGTCAAAAGTTCGAAAGTCAAA